ACCATAGTGTTAAGTCCTACTTATTCGTGTTAGGACAACGGAACAGTTGGATGACATATTATTAAAATAATAATTTGATAGTTTATATTGATGGTTGGATAGGACGGATTATATATATATAATTATACGCCATAATATGAGCTTGAGTTTCAGGATTAGTGGTTAGGGTGCGTATATTACCAGGGATGTGTAACTAGATATAGTGTAGTTGTGTGTCCTGATAGGTCTAGGTACTCATGGCCACTATATGTACGTTTTGCATGTTGCCTACTATTCAGGTTGAGGCAACTCTATAGTCTAGTGAGGTTCCTTTAGTGTGTACATATCTATATATGGACTATTTAGTTATTGTTGAATTAACTAGGATGTATACGTGTGTCAGGTCTCTGTTTGGGATGTAGTAGATTAGAATTTGTTTGTGGGCCTGACCCACCATTATTTTTTAGGTGTTCGTCAGTTCCAGACCTAGAGGTTGTTCATGCTGAGCAAAGATAGTATATTCACTTTTTCGATTCTATGTAGGATTCCTCTTTATATTTTTAGTTATGGATTTGGATTATTTATTTATTTACAATTTGTTTTATTAGGGGTTCATAGTATGGATTCCCGAATTATAGTCTAAATAGTTACTGGTATCAGAGAATTAGAGAATTTTATTATGGGATTATTTAATTATTATTTATTTGAGGATTATCTATTTAGTTTTCTTTTCAGCTTATTTATTTATTCTTAATTCATCTTGTATTCTAATGCTTGTTTAAATATTAATTATTTGATATCCCTTGTATTCTGTGCTTGAACTTGATCACCCGTAGATCTAGAATCGAGGGGTATCGCAGGTTTGGCTGGGTCTAAATGACCAATTTATGATTTAGAGGATAGACCAATAAAATATTACCATTACGACATTTTCTCGGTTCAGTTCGATCAATCGGATATCAATCCGATTGATCGGATTTTCCCATATTTAAAAAATTTTAAGGTTGTCAAAATTGCTCAGATTGACCAGACTTCAAACAATCATAACTTGGTTATTTTTAATCCAAAGTAAGCTATTCTCAAGTCTATATTGATGTATTTTGAGCCACCTTTCCATTGGCATCAACCTCGTTTTATAATTTTAACTTGAAATGACTATTTTACCCCTCACGAGCCTAGGATTCTAGCATGAACTTGAAGTCGAGTTTACCATTCCTTAATGATCCAATGTGGCTATAAATGACTAGTATGACTTTAATATGACTCCTAACTCATAGTAAGGTGCATAATGACCATTTTGTCTTTAGTTAATCTCGGGTTCGAGTAAGGACCCGGATAGTGATTTGAACCTCCGAGTTCGGGTCATTACAATGATATTGTAACCTAAATGAAAACAAGGAAAATGTTGTTATCTTAGCAAGCAAAGGAGAAGCAAGGACTTGCTTCTTGTGAATGTTTGGTCTCCACTTGTAAAGAGAATCCATAGTGAAATTGGGAAAGTTTCAAGAAGGATCTAAAGCAGAGAAGTAGAAGTTTCTGAATATCGCAAAAATCGTCGTGTTATAGTTTACAATTTCTCTTCCCTTATATCTTTTACAATTATGTTATAAATTGCTTACCTGTTTAATTTGATTATTGTACAATTGTGATAAGTATTTTACTTTAAATTGTTTTCCATAGAATATGAAAATTGGCAATTGATTACATTCACGCCCTCTAGAGTTAATTATTGGGTAACATCAAGGTATTCTTTACTCTCTCTTTCTAACCTCTCTTTTTTTATGAATTTTCTTTTAGTTTGTGAATTCAAACTACCTATTTTGCGGATTCAAGGTGACCATTGTTCCTTGTGAATATTTTATCACTTTCCGCAACGTCAATTGGTATCAGAGCCTTGATTTACCCTATGCTGATGACAATTGCTCATTCTGGTAGCACCCACTTTGCCGATGATGATCGCAAAGTGAAGGCCCCTTGGGCAGCCATACATACTCAAGAACATCTTATCATAACTAGTTTTGGAATCGGTGGCAACCAAGTTCATAGATCAGTTTGAATTCGTGCTGATGACGTGTGTCGTAGCTAACCTAATATGGGTTATGTTCTTGTTTATCCACATAGGCCTCCAGCCTATGCAGATTATTTCGATGATTCTTCCGATAATGAGGATTTCATATTCAGTGATCGAGGTAGACGCAACAATCGTGAATTTCAAGTAAAACATGATCTACTTACTTTCAATGAAAGTTTTATTATTGAAAATGTCTTGGATTGGATTGAAGAAGTTGAAAAAATTTTCAAATATTTTAATGTACCTGAAAATAAGCAAGTTCCACTTGTTGCCTTCAAGCTTCTTGGTGGGAACAAATACAATTTTATCGAAGGAAGGAAGGATCACAGCCTATTCTGTTATGGTACAAGATGAAACAGATGTTCATGGCTAAATTTCTACAGAAAATTATAAGGAAATAATGTATAAAAAATATCAGAATTGTCGAAAAGATAATCCCTCTGTCAAAAAGTTTACATAAATAATTTATAAGAAATATAGTGGTACCATGGATAATAATAATTTTGTTAAGTCAACAAATGATATTATTAAGGTTGATCAAGAGAAAATTTATGTTGTCTCACCTATTGTAGTTAAAGAAGATGAAGTCAAGGATGTAAAATCATTAGTTCCTTTGCACAAGTTGGTAGATGCAGAAAGGACCATAGCACGTCAAAAGTAGAAGATGGTGACAAGAAGTTCGATGCTGAAATTGAGCAACAAGAATTAATTGATCATCAGCAAGATTATGTTTTTTCCAAATCATATGTCTAAGATAGTATGGAAGAATTCGGGCACAAATTGGTGAAGTATCAATATTTGAGCAGATTGTTAATGAAGAATTATTTATTCGGAATGTGCCAAGGAAAATATTGTGGTGTTGTGCTTTGGAGGTTCTCATGGCAATGAAAAATATGATTTTGTGGTAAGCAATACTTCATATTATTCGCAGCCAAACTTGAGGATAAGTTTTTTTTTATGTAGAGGTGACTGATGCAAGACAGAATTAAAAGTCCGTTTTTTACCTGAGTGGAGAGTTTTTTTTGGGTGGAAACGAGACACATTGAGAAAAATCCACTAGATTTAGCTTGTGGGGCATGTTCGTTTTCAGCCGAAAACTTTCGATTAGGGTTTCGAAATCGCGTTTTATTGTGTTATATGAGTCTTGCAGATTTTTTTAGGATTTTTGTTCGAGAGGTCTTAACGAAATCAGTATGCTCTGAGCTTTTATATTTAGTAATTTTATTTGATTAGATTTCTTTCTCTATTTTTTCAGAATTTTTATAGAGAATTTATTTTTAGACTTATTTCTAGGATTAGTTTTCTTGTGTTTTCAGTTTCCTTCTACTATTAGGTTTTCTCTATTATAAATATTCATGAATTGTACGAGTAGAATTCAACCTTTTATTAATAATATTTTAGAATTTTTTATGAATTTTATTTTAGTTTACGAATTCAAATTACATATCTTGTGCATTCAAGATAACCTTTGTTTCTTCTAAATATTCTATCGCTTTCAGCTATGTCCTTTTATGTCTGTCGAGTAATTTATTGGGCTACTCAGCTCCATCACTGGACAAGAAAAAAAAAAATTACATAAATAAGAAAATGATCAATTAAATGCAAAATGTTTTGAAAATTAAAAAGACAGAATCACATTTTCACATGGTTTACAATTCTACAACAGAACAGATCAGTCCGCCAAATATACCAGTAATTGTCAAGTCAATCTCAGCCTCGCACGTAGGTTTCGTGGGGCAACTTTAATTGCAGTCCACAACTAAGTTGACCAATGTGAAAATTTTCTTCTTTTATTTTTTTGGTGGATGTGGTTTCTTGGGTGGTGTTTGCCATTGTCTCAATAATTTAAGGGATCAATAATGCAAAAGCATGATAAAAATAAAATAAAAATTATGCAAGAGCATATATACCCAATGTGCAAATTTATTTGGCCCTCTGCCGTATCAAATTATGCATTGTAAATCATCCAATATGAATCTTTACTGTTATAAGCTATTAGTCTAGTTGATATAAGCTATTTTTCTTCGAAAGGGAGGTGAGAAATTTGAGAACGTATATTTATAAATGTGTATGAATATTTACCCAACCAAAGGATTATATGTGATTCTCCTGTGATATCTGTCTAATTCACCATTCTATCGGGAGTGTATTATCCGTCTGATTCACTAGTCTATCGAGAATGTGTCATTAATTACAAAAATAGCTACAATACACAATTTGAATATGTTGTGCCATGTCTCGATGCAAACAAATGAAAAGATCATAGAGAATAACCAAGTTTTGGGCACCACACACTTCTTTAGACCTAATAAATGTAAGAGAATGATTAGAAGATACTATATATATATATACAAATCTTTAAAAAAAAAAAAAAAAAAAAAAAAAATTGAAGGAATACTACTGTTATTGTGGAAGTCTCCATTGATTTCGAAGTAAATTATTCTTCAGAAATATTTTTAGCACTAAAAATATATTCCGACATTTGGTTGATTGTAAAATGTTCTGCATAATATTTTAGGAAAAAAAAAATTAGCTACGAAAAAATTCATTTTCTGAAAATACACAAAAGCATGTCTAAATGACAGAGGAAACCCTCTAACAAATATATCTATATATGTATATAGAGTTTATTCATATATTTGAGTATGTATTTTTATACAAATATACTCAAATGTTATATATCTCAAATACATTAGAGAAAAAAAAAAAAAAAAACAAAAAAAAAAAACAATACAAATCTGTTGTAAAACATTGTATGTTTAAAGTGTCTGTAGCCAACAAGGGAAAGAATATCCATATATTTCAAATCAATGTTCCTTTCAAGCCCTTCTTCCATGAAGCTTCCAGCAAATATCTCCGTTATGTTCCAACCACAATTGTATTCTCCATTAATTAACGTGTCATCATCGTACTTGAACTGTACGTACAATATTTAAGAACATTCTACACACTTCTACATAGAACTTTCCACCTATATATGTACCCTTCCAATGTTTAAGCTCAGTCACCATTCAAAAACATATTCAGTTACTAATATATATACGTACGTCGTCTTTGATCAGTGAACATGGCATGCAACATGTCTCCTCTCAACTCCAACGACCTGCACCGGATTTTCGAGAAGCTTGACCAGAATGGCGATGGCCTGGTGAGCCTGGAGGAGCTCAATTGGTTACTGGAGAGGATCGGGGTCCATGTCCACACGAGCATGGACGAGCTCCAGACTCTAGTGGGTAAAACGAGCCTGGACCTCACTGACTTCAAGTTCTTCTACGAAACCATAATTAAGGAAAACATTAATGTCGAAAGCAAGCCTGAAAAGGAGGATGATAGCTTGGAGGGTGATCTTGCTAAGGCTTTTGGGGTGTTCGATTTGAATGGCGATGGCTTCATTTCATGCGACGAGCTCCAGAATGTGCTGTCAAGATTAGGGTTGTGGGATGAGCGCAACGGCCATGATTGTAGGACTATGATCAATGTCTACGATACAAATTCCGATGGGTTGCTTGATTTTGAGGAGTTCAAGAACATGATGCTGATCACTAATTCTTAACCAATTTATGATGATTTTTAAAGCTCAGCTATATAGGCTAGATAGTTTTTATGATCAAAATTAGGGATGATGTTCAATTTTCAATATTACATGTTGTATTATTGTTGCAGTTATTATTTGTAGTGATTTTGGTGAAAAAAATTGGAGTGGATTAACATATGAAGATTGTTTTTAATTGCTGTTTCAGTAGCTTTAAGCTATAAAAGGGTCATTACACAGTAGGTGCTAAAACATGACACACCATTAACCTTTATTAAATTTTCATCACGATACGCAAAGTATATTAAGTTTGATTGGGGAAGTTTCTAGTCTCACCTCTGTATCGTCATCGGTCAGAATTTTTTAGTACCAACCCTACATAGGGGGTTGGGCGTACGGATACCTTTACATTTGTCACTTCATTAACAAAGGAAAAATTACACTTACCTATCTTATGGTCTCTTTTGATGTGTTGTTGTCTGGAAAGAGGAGGCCTCCATGATTGTTTGTTCGTCAGAATCAGAAGTAAAAATTTTGGTAGAAAGGACTCAAATAAAAACTTCTTTAGTAATTTCTTAAGTTTGTCATAATTATAAGGACCTTCTTTTTTATTTAAAAAATTACCTCTCTTCAAAATTTACACAGACCTTTTTAGTGACATAACATTAATTGCACTAATGAATTTATCTAATTTACTAAAATACCTTCAACTTTTTTATGGTAAATGACTTAAGTATTGCGTGTAGAGAGAAATAGCATTCTAGACCCCCAAAAAAAAAAAAAATCTCAAACTGTTTGGGGGCACCACCACCATCTACACCAAAAAAAATATAAAGCAAGAGAAAAAAAAATCACCAACCACCATGGGTGCCACCGCCGCTACCACCACCACCATCTCCGTTTTCCTCCATCTTTGTTTGTGTGTGTGTGTGTGTATATTTATAAACAATGAATGAATTCACCGGTGGGTTTGCCGGACTTTTGGCCGAATTATCAAGGTCTTCTTTAAAGCATCTGCACCGCCCCTAGCTAAAGCCTAATTTTGGCGATTTGAAGGCCCAAAGTCACTCCATCAGGTTCGTGGAACTGGGCAGGGCCGATAGCAGCTCGCGGGCCGGCTCGCTGAATACCGCGAGCCCGAGCCCGAGCCCGATCGTGGTAATTTTTTTTTTTTTTTTGTTTTTTTCCTTGACCAAAAAGACGAAGTTTTGGTGAAGCTTTTCTTTGTTTTTGTTTTTGTTTTTGTTTTTTTTTTTAAATGGTCATGAATAGTGCCTAAAGGCACTGTTTGGCAGAATGGTTTTTTTTTTTAAAAAAACCCAAAAATAGGTTTTTTTGAGATCATTTTTTAAAAAATAAAATAAAATAAAATTCATTAAAGAAAAAATTTATTGTTTAGGCACTGTTTGCCCAAAAATTAATTTATTTGGGCTAAAAATAAATTAAAATTTTTTTTTCTTTTTTTTTTCCTTAAAATTTGTTTTTATTTTTATTTTTATTTTTTTGCTTTAAATTTTAAATGTCTGCCACAAATAGTGTATTTGGCCGTTAAAGCACTGTTTGGCTAACTCAAACAGAGCCTTAACAGCTATAATTTTAAAAAAAGTTTTAAAATTCAAATTTTTTTAACTTTTTTCAAAAAAAAAAAAAAATTAATATTAAAATTATTGGATAATGTATTGTTTAAAGTTATAATATCAATCCTAGTTTTTTTTAATAAGTTGCAAAAATATTGTTTGATTGAAAAATATTGCCGTTGAAAAATAATTTTATCATTTTAAATATTAAAAAACCATTACATAATAAAATGATAGTATACGAAATATAGCTGTTACGGATATAACCGTTAGGAATATTGTGGTTAGAAATATAGCCGTTAGGAAAAATTTAAATATATATATATATATATATATTTTGAGAGCAAAAATTCGGAGAACCTAATGGAGTGCATGTTTTTAGAAAGTGAAAGCTGCTGACGTGGCTCTTAGAATTGCTAGCGTAGCTCTTGAAATTGTTAATATGATTCTTGAAAAACCTGAAGTGTCATTTTTAGAGAGCCAAAATCCGAAGAGGCTGGTACAAATGGCCTTACTCCCTCTCTCCCCCCCCCCCCCCTCTCTCTCTCTCTCTCTCTCTAACCTTTCTATAGACCCATTTTTCCTATACACAGTCTTAATTCTTCAATTGCTTTCAATCGTATAACATAGACATGGAGCCAAAGACTTCAATGATGTGAATCTACAGAAAAGTTTCTTTGATTTTGAGCTGGGTAGCTATGAATATGGAAGGAAATAGCTATGAGCAAGGTACACAAAAAGATCGAAGAATCAATGAAAAATGGCTTCTCTTACATAATCATTGAAATTTCGATTGATTAGTGGATAGCTCTTGTAGGCAATGGAGTGTTTCTTCCAATAGTACGAAATCTTTTTCTTCTTCTTCTTCTTTTTCTTTTTTTTTTTTTTTTTTTTTTTTATCTTGCCAAGGAAACAAACGCCATACGGCATCTACAGGCAAAACATCTAGCATACCAGATCACCAAAACACATGAAACACCATCATTCACAAAACCAACCAAACCAAACTAACACCTTATAGTCAAGATCAGAGTCTTGACAAATTAACTAGAAAACGTTAGTAACGGTGGGAGTACTAGCACCCACAAGTAAAGCCAACTGAGTAGCAAAAGACTGAGAGGACTCGGAATGATAGGAATCACCATGGTGAGTCCCAGATTTGCCAGATGACTCAGAACGCAAACCAACCTCGATACCAACAGAGTCCTTGTCAATAGCGACTGACAAAAAACTGGCAACCAAAGCTTTCTGTTTCTTCTCCCCCTTCAAATGGCCTCCCTGTGATCCTCCTGAAGAAGACTGTCGACGCTTACGACCTTTACGAGTCGGGGAAGAACCTTGACTCTGAGAAGTAGCCGAGGAGTCGGAAGTCGAACAAAATAATGGCTTCACACGACTCTTCCCTTTCTTCCATGCTTTGGACATATGATCCCAACGTTGCAACAGAAGTATCCGACCTTTAATGGGAGAAGTAACAGGAGCAAAAGCCATAAGTTCCTCATTTTGTACTGATGCCACATGGCTTGGGGAAGAAAAACCCCCTTCCATCGGATTAGCAAGTACACCTATAGGACCATCACCCTTACTACTCCCTATATCAGTTTCACGTAAAACAGTCCTAGTTGGAATAACTCCCTGGCTAAAAGAACATGCACCAATACCCTCACCAATATCCAATTTTGATTATCTACCAACACTAGATAAAACAACCGCATCATTAACAGATGAACTTCCCATTTGGAACCCTGGATCGAGAAGCGACCCATCAACCTGACCACAGGAATTTGGATTCCATAAATTAAAGTGACGCAGCCTAGAAAAGGACTTATACCCCCCAGAAACAGCCTCACTATCAACATCCCCATCTTCCACATAAACCAAGTCCTACTAGGCCCATCACCCAAATCAGACGTCTCACAATCAGAGCTCCAAAGATCTTTCCCTATAAATCCTTCCACCCCCAACCAACTCCCATATTCCATGAGATCCCCAGGTTCCAAAAAAACCCCCAACATACACACTTTCCAATGATACCACAAGCAAAACAAAAGGTGGGAAGTTTCTCATACCGTATTTGCACCTAAGACTCCACGCCTAATGGATCTGTTAAGAGAAGATGTCGCCGAAACGATTTGGTTATATCCAACTCAACTCTAAGTCAGAGAACATGGCTGTCAGTGCCTACTGTATCTTTTCCATCACCCAAACTTTTATCACGCAACTCTACTTTCAAACACTTACCAAGGGTACTACCAATCATTTGCCCGACCTTCTCCGACAATAAGTTGGCCTACACATCAAAAAGCTAAATCCAGAAAGTAGAAACTTGAAAAGGTTTATCCGAACATAATAAACCGTCCTTCTACTCCTTAAGCACCACAAGATGCCCATCAAAAAGCCATGGATAGCCAGCAATAATATGTTGACGAATACTGGCATCAGGGATAAACAACTGAAACAAATTGCGTGCCACTTTAAACACTTGCATCCTCTTTGCCATAGACTCTTGTTGTTTTTCCTTGGACCACAACTTATTAAATAGCTTACCAAAAGTGTGACGACCCTGGTTTTTAGGCCAGCGTGTCCTGTGATGAACCGCAAGGATGATCCGATAACGAATCCAAATGTGAAAGCGAAAACAGAAAATAAGACTCTAAGAAGTTAAAGTGACCTTCCATGAGGTCGTGGAACTCAACAAGAACTGATGCGGAAGCAAAAGATCGAAAATATTACAAATAAGCCCCCAAGGGCAAAATAGTCATTTCTGAAAATTATAGATTCGGATGCCACCGAGCATACCGCTAGAAAGACAACAAAAAAATAATCAAAATGGACTCAAGAATTGCATGGTTCGGAGTCCGGATGAAGGAGAAACGACATGATAAAGAAAAACGAGCACTTAAGGCAAAAAGGGTAAACTGGTAATTATACAAGAAGAATCAAGTGCAACTGAGCACACCATTGGAAAGACAGCGAAAAATTAGTCAAGTTCAAAAAAAAATTCACTTGAATCGGAGTCCGAACAAAGGAGAAAAGCCCAAAAGAATAATTAACGTCGTGGAGGCCCGACGAGGGGCCATGACAGCCCCATGCGCACGCCCATGCGCGCGCTCATGCACGCCGCACGCACGCTGGGTGCACCATGGCTGGCAGCAGCCCATAAAGCTACTGTGTGGTTGATTTTTTCAGAAAAATTCAGAACAGAGGCTGAATTTGGAGGCCTAGATGAACTTTTTTGCAAAAACACAGAGAAGAACCCCCCCTCAAAATTGAGTTTTCTACATGACTTGCAAGAGAATTAAAAAAAAAAAATGCAATGTTGAATACCCAAAATGCCCCTCCATGAAATCTGGTCATGGAGGTCCAAAAAGTTGCTAAATTGAAAAACTGAGAGCTGAACTTCTTAAGCGATTTTCGATATCAAGACGACATTTTCTGGAAAACACGGAAAAGAAACCCTCCCTAAAATCATATTTTCTATTCAACCATATTGAAAGAAGAAAATAAAACCACCGTGAAAAGTCTATAATGCCCCTAGATCAGAATATGCAAAAAAAAAAAAAAATGCGAAATGAATTCACAAGAGGCTCAAAGCACAAACGA